TGGGTGTGTGCATACAAATGTAAAATGTATTGTTTCTGTGTACACACTCAACATATTTAAATAAATAATTTTATATTTTTTTATATAATCCTTTTTTTTTCAATTATGACACAATGCTTCATGGGATTGTAGTTCTTTACTTTACTAAACCCATTAAGTGCACAGTCTACACACCTTTTCTTTACCTTACCTTTTCACACTGAGGACAACTGAGGGACTCATATGCAACTATTACAGAAGGTTCAAATGCTCACTGATGCTCCAGAAGGAAAAACCATGCATTAAGAGCTGGGGGGTGAAAACTTTTGAACAGAATGAAGATGTGTACATTTTTCTTATTTTGTCTAAATATCATATTTTTTCATTTAGTACTGCCCTTCAGAGGTTAAAGAAGATAGTTACATGTTTCCCAGGAGACAAAATAAGTTAAATTTACCCTGATCTTCAAATTCATAAAGTTTTCACCCCTCTGCTCTTAATGCATGGGTTTTCCTTCTGGAGCATCAGTGAGCATTTGAACCTTCTGTAATAGTTGCATATGAGTCCCTCAGTTGTCCTCAGTGTGAAAAGATGGATCTCAAAATCAAACAGTCATTGTTGGAAAGGGTTCAAATACACAAAAATGCTGGAAAACCAAAGAATTTGTGGGACCTGAAGGATTTTTCTGAAGAACAGCAGGCAGTTTAACTGTTCACGACAAACAAGGGACTCATGAACAACTATCACTAAACAAAAATCACAGCTGTGGATCATTCAGGTAAGAACACAGTATTAAGGATCAAGGGGATGTAAACTTTTGAGCAGGGTCGTTTTTATAAATTCAACTATTATTTTCTCTTGTGGACTATATGTAAACATCCTTTATGTGAAGTATCTTATTCAGGTCAATACTAATTAAATAAACAATGACATGCATTTTGATTGATCCCTTTTATTTTGGTAAATTAATTAACATTTTGCAGACTCTGAAAGGGGGATGTAAACTTTTGACCTCAACTGTACATGTGAGGCATGCTATTTGTATGAACGTTCCAAATCAGTCACTAATGGTCCAGTTCAGTTTGGATGCTACTGTGCAACACTGTATAGCCAGCAAGGCAGCTCTTTAGGTTTTGGAATGGAGATTGATTCATTAAACAAATCTCACTTAAATTATGATTGAATGACATTTGCATCTACCTCTGATTTGATAACAAATACATTGCATGCTTCAATTTGTAAATTAGGCCATGATGCAGTTTTACCACAGCCCTACCTTTAGTTAATAGATCTCACATGTGAATTGAGGGTACTCTTCAAATTAAGCTCTGGTGAAGGCCAAAGCTCTGTAATTTATATTTGGGCTAATTAGTGAGGTGTGGGTCTTGTCTTATAAATAGAGGCAATTACTCATGAATATGTGTGGGGCTGTCCACTGAGGGTGAGCACTTGGTATACATGATGTTGCTTTCTGCTTATGTGTGTGTGGTGTATACAGTGGCCTCAAAACATATTTGGACGCTCTTTAAAAGGTATGCCATTGCATTAGATAATAAAATATTAAACCAAGTGGCATGTAGTTCTCATATCAGCCCCGCTAAAATCTGTGAATATGTTTCCCTCATTAAGAAAAGTTTTAGCTCTAGAGAAATGAATAGTGGCATCCGTTTTGTTCATTCATAATACTCTAATTGCTGTGACGTTGTTGTTGTGACCTTGTTGGCTTTGTTAAAGACAATGTCTTTTTTCCTTCACCTTAAGACCTTGGTCACGCTTTCCTCTGCCAAAGCATCTTACAGAGTGTTATGTACGGCACATGTTTCCGTCTAACATAGAGGCATATGGCCTGTTTTATGAGCATGATAGTGCTGTAAATAAGAGCAATGCCACAGTGCTGTTATGCTTTAAGCAAACTCACCCTTCCACCGGCAGCAGCACCAATCTGTTCTTGACTCTCTGTGAAAGGCTGGCAGCAGCAGATGCATATGTTATCTTGAACTCCACTGATGTGTTAAGAACAACTTTGCTTTTTCAGGATAGTTTTACTAATCATAATAATAATAATAATAATAAAATAGCCAGTCTCTCTGTTGTATGAATACGATCTCGGTGATTATGGATGACCTGACCTTGTTTCATTTGACTGTTGACTCACCCAAATATTGCTCCGGCCTGCACGACTTGTTTTGAAAAATAAATAATTCCAAAAATTAAATAACACACTACAGTTAAAGTTATAACCAAGTACTTTTAGTATGTTAGTCAACAATACAAAATTAGTGTACTTCTTAAAAGCATAGCAAAAGATTATTAAAACATAACAATATTTTGAACATTTAAATTGACAATTACAAAGTGCACCACTTTTTAAAAGTGTATTTAAGCACGTTAACACACATGGTTATGAAAATGCATACTTTTCAAGTACTCTCACGTGGCATTTTATTTAATGAATATTATATTATCTGCAAGTATACTTTTATGGTTTGAATCACATTCAATACAATTAGGCCCACTTCTTTTTTAACAAGAGCTGTTTTAATGGGAAATACCGGGAAGAAAATGCACTCATCAAGCCACTTCACTGAATCTTTAAAACTTCAGTTTGTTAGTAATAAAAAGAGTATTTTATATACAGTGACTTGCTAATGTATTCAGAGCCAATTACTGAATTGCAAATCCTGGACTAAAATGTATTTTTAGTTTGTAATATTTTTATCTAATGAAACAGAAAATTATGTGACATTGGTTTATGCTAGAAAAACACTCTAACTTAAAATGATACAGTTTGAACCCCACTGTATAATTTTAGTTAAAACATAAACCAATGTCACATTAAAATAATTTTCCATTTCACTCAACTTCAGGAAATTCTTCTATTCTGCATTAATTTAATTCGTTTTTTTTTCTCCCATTATCTATTAATAATCAAGTTCTTTAGCATGATTTAAGAATGTTCCAATAAACATCTGCTGCAGTGGAACCAAAAACATCTGACCTTTGGTAAAAACGTCAATATCACTAATTTACTTACATTTCTTAAAATAGTGCATGTTCATTTAAAGGGGTCATATGATGCGATTTCAATTTTTCCTTTCTTATGTCTTGTCGCTCCGGCCGGACACGGCATCAACAGTATGTGAGGGGCGTAACATTTCCGTCTCACGCTTGAGGTATTCGGCCAATCACAACGCATTGGATAGCTGGCCAATCAGAGCACACCTCGCTTTTCAGACCGATTAGTTTTGTAAAAATCGACGCGTTTCAAAAAGGCGGGGCATAGAGGACAAACAATAATGTACAGTATGTGGAAAATAATGTGTTTTTTAAACTTTAAAACGCATAAACACATTTCATTACACCAAATACAGAAAATAATGTTCTTTTTAGCAGCATCATATGACCCCTTTAACATTTATAGTGTTTGACCAAGAATTTCATTGTAGACCCCTCTGTAAACAGTATGCAGTTTGTGAAAGTATTTTGTCCCCATCTTACAGAAGCACTGCTTTTGCACAGATGAAAAATTGCCTTAATGAGGGTACAGTCGCCTTTCATTTGACCTATATTTGTGAGTTATTCAAAAAAAAAAACACACACAGTATGATATAAAACAAGGTTTGGAGGTCATTATACAGGCTGTAACCTGCAGGACAGCTGTGAAAATAAGAACTGAAAAGCTTTTAAAAGAAGGAGATTTTTAAGAGGCCAAGGGTCACTCTGAAAGATCTCCAGAGAATGGAGTAAAGGTGCACCAGTCAACCATATCAAGAGCTCTGCATAACACTGACCTGTTTGGGAGGGCGGCACAAAAGAAGCCAGTTCTCAAAAAGATCCATGGGTAGAGTTTGCATAATAATGACGAAGTTATGTGGGAGGATGTTTTGTGGTCAGATGAGAGTTTTTTTTAGGCACAATTCAGTAGTATGCATAGCACAGCCTCTGCTTGTCTGAGCGTTTGCCCCATGATATTTGAAATACCAAGCCCAGTATTTGAATTTCACATCTGTTTCATGTAAAAAGACGTTTCAAAAGCTGTGGGTTAAAAATGGTCAAAGCCCGCTCGATCCAGCTGTTTTTGATGATGAAAAGCTGACAGGAAAAAGAGCAAGGCAAAGCAGAGAGAAATCAGTGTAATCGGCAAATTGAAGTCCCACTTTCCCTTATCAGCCTCTCGCAAACAAAGGGACGAATTGATATGTGGGAGTTAAGGTGCTGCTGTAAAGATATTGGGGCCACTCCTGAAGGATTTGTCTAGCTAAGCTCATGAAACATTAAGCAGTGACAATTCCATAAGATCAATAGGACTAGCACACTCTCTGTTCTCTGCTGCCTTTGTTTTTCTTTTTTTCGCATCTGAGGCCAAATTGAATGTTTATGTCCCTGTACCATTTTGCAAAAACTTCCTTCAGAACCAAGGCTAGGTCTCAGTTGATTTGCATTAAATTGGCTACCGTCATATGAGGAATTTTTTTTAGATATGTGACCCTGGACCACAAAACCAGTCATAAGGGTAATTTTTACACGATCTGAAAGCTGAATAAATAAGCTTTTCATTGATGTATGGTTTGTTAGGATATGACAATAATTGGCCGAAATACAACTATTCGAAATTCTGGAATCTGAGGGTGCAAAAAAATCAGAATATTGAGAAAATCATCTTTAAAGTTGATGAAGTTCTTAGCAATGCATATTACTAATCAAAAATTAAGTTTTGATATATTTACAGTAGGAAATTTACAAAATATCTTCATGGAACATGATCTTTACTTAATATCCTAATGATTTTTGGCATAAAAGAAAAATCTATAATTATGACCCATACAATGTATTTTTGGCTATTGCTACAAATATACCCCAGCGACTTAAGACTGGTTTTGTGCTCCAGGGTCACATATCATTTATATATTTACCTTATTATTTACCCATTTAATATATGGAGTGTAAATGCAATTATTTGTATGTGTACATGCTTTTAGTTAAACTTCAGTGGTCTATTAAGAGTCTATGTTTGTTTCATCATGACAGTAAGTTTATCATTGTGCTGAACCATGTCATACTACCAGACTACTCTGACTATATCTGCATCTTCATGAATACTGTCTCTCATAATGCAATGTGTTTCACATATGAAGTGAAGGAAATATCAGCTGTAATATTTTTAACAGCTCTTTCTTCACTCAGTCTTGATTAGATTGGAATTCCAAGAGTTGTTTTTTTTAACACAGAAATTTGAATAAAAATACAGAATTACTGAATTTATTTTTAAAATGATAACTGGGCGACACCCACTGCAACTGATCATACTGCTGTTTGAAATAATATTTGCTGCATAATGTGTTTTGTTCCACATACTGTTTAAAAAATATTCTGCAGTATACATTATAAACTGTGCTGTCGTGCTGTAATTAGTAAGCTAATATTATATTCTGTTGTGTGTGTGTGTGTGTGTGTGTGTACTGGTTTATATATCCTGGTGGGGACTTAAACCTGACTACACACAGACTCATGGGGACTCGTGTCACGGTGGGGACCTAAATTGTGGTCCCCACGGGTACAAAAGCTTATAAATCATACAGAATGAAGTTTTTTGAAAATCTAAAAATGCAGAAAGTTTCCTGTGAGGGGTAGGTTTAGGGGTAGGGTTGGTGTAGGGCAACAGAATATACGGTCTGTACAGTAGAAAAACCATTACGCCTATGGAGAGTCCCCACAAGGATAGCTGACCAGACGTGTGTGTGTATATATATATATATATATATTAATAGTTCCAATGCAAAAGCCTCTAAAAGCCATCTTGGTCAAAAATGAGATAACGATACTGAGTGAACGCTCTCCACACATAGTATGTTCATCAAGTAGGAAGTATCATCAAGTATCATTAGAATATATTCTGTAGCTATAAACAGGTAATATTATGTGGATGTTCGCTGAAAGAATGATGTCTGTTGGTTAAAACATCAGCTAATGAATTTCGCATCACAGCTTCGTCAAATCTGCTGTAAAATTGAATTTCACAAAAAAGCAAACAAAGGCACACATAGCCGATTTATAATTATAAAACATGCCGTAAAAATAACATTAGCGTTGCCTTTGGTGAGATGCAGTCCTCAGAGACCCTAAAGCTGCTTTAATAATCCATTGCTGAAGATGCTGAGTTGATAAATAAGTAATTAAATAGATTTGTCTCGTCAATGGCTGCTTCTGCGACGCGCTGCATAACAGAGTGATGGAGTTACAGCGCCATCTTGTGGAAAAGATTAGCACTAATTCTGTGGTTATGGGTCTACCATCATGATTAATGAATAAAATCAACGAAACACAGTGAAACACCATATCTAAAAGCTAGAATGCATACGTGAGTTAAATGTATGATGTATTGCTTTATATTTTACATGAAATTGATTCAAGAATGTTTGCCTTGTGTATTCATATGGACTCACGGGTTTAAATAATTAAATAAATACCTAAAATCATAAAAAAAAATTGTAACTTAAAAATTTTAATTTAGTTAGACTAGCCTAGTATTTCTCCTTTTTATTTAGTTCAACGTGATGCTGAAATACCTAAAATTGAAATAAAATAAAAAACGAGTTCAAAATCAAAATCCGTGATCATTACATTACCATATTTGCTGTTCCTGCAGGGATGGGTTCGATCCGTCAGGCCACAGAAAGACAACCTCTTCTTGCATGTGAATGATGGAAGTTCATTGCAACCTCTACAGGTTGTTGCCAGCTCACACTTGAATACCAGGTGCTATTCTCTACACTGTCTTTGAGCTAGAACAAATATAAAATACTATTTCAAACGTCATGCAAATCTTGATATATACACTGACTCCACTTACAGCCACACCAAAATGAATGGATGTCATTGTATTAAATAACAAAATAACAAACTAAGTGACATTCACTGTAATGAAATCTAGCACAAGTACTTTTCAAGCAAAACATATTGAAACAAAGGGGATTTACTATTAAAATTAAAACATGGAAGACATGTTTTGTGTGATTATTCCTTCAAAAATAATGTTTGTTTCATTTTAGTAGTAGTAGTAGTAGTATAGGCTATGTACATTCTACTGAAAAATAGTTATAAGCACAATGTCTTCAAATCAAACCGGACTTTTATTTTGAGGGGGTGCCGTGAATACCTTTACAGTTCTGTGTATGAGATATGACGCTAGTTTTACTCAAATCAAACGCTAAAATGCTCATGAAGTGACTCTCAGAGCAGTTCTGGAGATGTTGTTCATGTGTTTACGTCCTCAAATATCTTACATACCACCAACGGTGAACGAGCCAGTGTAATGCAAATATATCTGAAAGGTCTGCGCGAGGATATCGTCACGTTCTCGCGAGACCAGTCAGATCTCGCCAGACGCATCGGATCTCGTCACACCCCTAATATATATATAATGTTCCGGTTACAGCAAGACAACAAGTACACCTGTGTAAATCTGTGGGAACTAATTTCTTACATCCACAAAAAAAAAAATCACCTTTTAGTTGCAAAAATGGCAAGAAAATGTAAATGTATGAATATTAAATGCGTATTATATATATATATATATATATATATATATATATTAATTTGATCTATTTTATCATACAGTTTGTAATATTAGAAATGTGTTTAAAGAATCTTACTACCCCAAAACTTTTGAATAGTAGTAACAAATTATTTTAAATGTATTTTCATTCTTTTATTCTTATATTAGCTGTATAATGTGCAAATTAATAACAAATCATAATTATAAAAACATTATAAAATTCTCATATGGCTTATATTTCCTTTTTTGGAATTTTGTTAATTGTTGTTACAGGGTAACGGTTATGTGCAGATACACACACCAGTAATCACCTCAAATGACTGTGAGGGAGCTGGAGAACTCTTCCAAGTTGAGGTACGGTCTAGTTGATGGGTGACATGTGAGATATAGCAACAAGCAAAATGATATTATTTCAAAATATGGTACATGGATGCTATTGATTCTTCCTTAAAACACTGAAAACTTACGTTTGTGCTCTCTGAAGCCTGCAGGGCATAAAAATGACTCCGATGACCCAAACCCACATTTCTTCTCTGTGCCGGCTTATCTAACAGTCTCAGGACAACTGCACCTGGAGGTGATGGCAGGGTAAATAGTTTAGACACAACCAGTCGTGTTAATCTCACTATGTTAAGAATATAAAAAAAACTGATCCTAGCTCAATTTTATTATTAGGACTGTAACGAACAGACATTACAAAATGTATAATGAATCATTAGCTAAAGTTGAATGCTAAACTGTTTTGTGATTGCTCAGCGTCTGCTGTTGTCTGTTGTAGGGCTTTTTCTGCAGTGTACACATTCGGTCCCACGTTCAGAGCGGAGAACTCTCAAAGCAGGAGACACTTGGCAGAGTTTTACATGGTAGAGGCAGAGATTGCCTTCACTGAGTCACTAGACGACCTTATGAAGGTAGAAAACTCATTCCTTCCCACTCAGTGAATTACATACACTAAAGACTCAAGCAACTGATTATGGTTGGAAGATGGATTTGAAAGTGTGTACATTTCATAATGCGTCATTTTCATTTTAAAGCTTGTTTCTCGCTCTTCAGGTAATGGAGGACTTATTCAAAGCTGCCACGGAGCATGTGCTGTCCTCTTGCGCAGAGGATGTAGAGTTATTTCACAAATATATTGCACCAGGACACAGGGTATGACACACAATGCTGTTGTTCCGTATGCTTTATAAGAGCCTTATAAGAGCATTGGGAGTTTCTCCACTATAACGGCTGTAATAAAGTGATAATGTTTTATCTTATTTGAACATCCTCAGGATCAAGTGGATCTCATGTTGAAAAGAAAATTTAATGTGTACGTATTATATTTCAGTTCAGTCTACTTTTCCCAAAACTGAAGTCCTTGAGCTTGAGAAAAACACTACATACTTTTTTCTTCTTCTAAAAAGTTCTCTGAACATTAGCTGTTAAAAGTAAGAATCAGTCATTTTTGTATGTCATCTCTCCTTGAGCCATGCAATTTTATTGCACGATTTTAAATTGTTATATTTGCGTTTTACAGCATTTCTTACACCGAGGCCATAGACATTCTAAAGAGCAGTTCACAGAACTTTACATTCAGCACTGAGGCAAGTAAAAAACAGCATATGTTTGTTTTAAATAATTACTATACTTAATATAAGAGATACTTTAAGAAATGCACATTGAATAAAAATATGATGTCCATTAGCATTCAAAAGTTTGGTGTCAGTAAGAAATGACTACTTTTATCCAGCAAGGATGCATTAAATCGGTCAAAAGTGACTAAAGACAATTTTACAAAATATTTTTATTTCAAATAAACGTTGTTCATTTGAACTTTTTATCAGAGAATCCTGAAACAAACATATCACAGTTTGCACAAAATATTAAGCAGCACAAATTCTTTTCAACATTGATAAAAATAAGAAATGTTTCTTGAGCAGCAAAATCAGTATATTAGAATTGGAGTAATGCTGCTGAAAATTCAGCTTAGCATCACAGGAATAAATTACATTTTAAAATATATTAAAATAGAAAACTCTTATTTTAAATTCTAATAATATCTCAACATATTACTGGTTTTACTGTGTTTTTTAATCAAGTAAAAACAGCCTGGATGAGGCCAAGGCTGTATTACATTGAAACATTAAAAACCTTACTGACCCAAACTTTTTAATGGTAGTGTATATGTCAGTTTTTTAATATTGTCTGTTCTCCCTTTCTTTGACATATGTTTTACATTAGTGGGGCTGCGATCTTCAGACAGAACATGAGAAGTTCCTAGTGAAACATTGTGGAAATGTCCCAGTGTTTGTCATCAACTATCCCTATGAGTTAAAGCCTTTCTATGCCCGAGACAACCAGGACCAGCCCAACCACACTGTAAGAATGAGCTCTCACCATCAGTCTTTTCTACATGTGGTCCTGCCATGAGTTCCACTCAACTGCTAATCTGTTTTAAATATGTTTATATTATGTGTTTAAAGCCTAGAGTAAATGATCAGATGTGATAAAGATGTTATGGCATGTCTTTCTGAATTAGACCTTTTTTTCCACTTATCCTCACCTCTATGTGCTCACTGCTTATTCACTGATGATTTTTTTGGACAGGCAGCTGCTGTAGATCTCTTGGTGCCTGGAGTGGGGGAGCTTTGTGGTGGATCCCTGAGAGAGGAGAGACTAGAACTTCTGAGTCAACGACTAGCACAGTAAGAATTAGAGAAGAGTCCCTTTTCACATAGTAATACGTCATAAAAATTAATATATGCTGTAATTATTTAAGACATGGATAAACTACTGTTCTAAAGTGCTCACAAAGGCTGCACTTATCACATCAAAAATGCTGTAAAAACAATAATGTTGTAAAATATTATTACCATTTACAATTTACTTAGAATTAAACATAACTATTTTTTTAATTATTTTAATATCACTGCAGTCTTCAGTGTCACATGATCCTTCAGAAATAGTGTTAATATGCTGATTTGGTGTTAAAAAAATAAAATAAAAATACATTTCTTAATATTAATAATGCTGAAAACAGTTGTGCTGCTTAATATTTTTGTGGAAATTGTGATAAATTTTTCTAAGATTCAAAAGAACAGCATTTATTTGACAAGAGAAAAATTTGAAATAGATATTTTGTAACATTGTACAGTAAATGCCCGTTCTGTCGATTTTGATCATTTTAATGCATCTTTGCTGAATAACGCCCCATTCACACGGGGCGTCAGCGTTAACGCTTGACGGAGGGCGTTTCTGAAGCTTGGTGCTGACGACCGTCATAGTGACAACAGCCAATCACATTAGTCTTCTGGTGTTGCATGAACGCGATTGGCTAGCGTCTGCGCTAGGGTATTTGCATAAGGCGATCTGATTGGCTGACGCCTGCGTTGGCGCTTGAAAATTTGAAAAGTTTTCAACTTCTGCCGCGAGCAACGGACCCAACGCGACGCGACGGACCCACAATTCATTTCGCCAATAGTTGACGTGACTCCATTCAAAGTAAACGAGAGGCGTTGACGCTGACGCCCCGTGCGAATGGGGCGTAAGGGTTAAAAAAAAAACTGACACCAAACTTTCACAGTGTAAATAAAACATCTAAAGGTTTTTTATTTGCACTGTTATGTTGATTTGTACTGAAAAAAAGTATATTTTAGTAAATCCGAAAAGACTTTTAGGCTATAGTGTATATTCTGTATGTTAGAATGTCAAATGTATTCATTTCATGATCAAAATGCGGTACACAAATATGGCACTAAAAATGTAATGTGATGCTTTCCATACATATTACATGTTTGCTTATGTATTACTAAGTACTATTCACTTGCATATCCTGCATGTTTTCCCTCTTTTCATAGAGCTGGATTGGAGGACACATATGCATGGTAGGTTTCTAAGAACAACTTTTGCTGCCCAACCATATTTTTATTCCAGAATTAAGAGGCATTTGCGTATTATGTGTTTGAGTAGTGTTTCTTTTCAAAGTGACATCGCCAACTAGAGGCCTGGCATGCATAATGCAGCATTTTAAGTTGTTTTCTTGGATCTGTGTGAATGGGGGTCGCTTTGACAACGTTGTCATTTGTACATGAAAAACTTCACAATGTTGTCAAACCCTTAAAGAGCATCGTTGTGATTGACAGGTATCTGCAGCTGAGAGAGTTTGGCTCAGTCCCCCATGGTGGGTTTGGGATGGGCTTTGAGAGGTACCTGCAGTGCATTCTGGGACTCCACAATATTAAAGATGTGATCCCATTTGCAAGGTTCTCACACTCCTGCCTGCTTTGAAACAGTGTTTTCCCGAAGCCACCCAACACTGCACATTTTGAATGTCTTTTATGTGTGACACCCATTTGAGGTCTTGAAGTCTCTATCAATGAGCTGATGATCTGAGTCAGGTGTGTTTGATTAGGTAAGCATACAAAATGAGCAATATTAATGAAGCTAGAAACAAATTTTAGGAACCACTGCTCTAGTGTAGCAGGATGACTAATGTGTTTCATGCATTTTTATGAAACATTCATCTTCTCTGTTATAGATAGGAGCAGATATTATTTAACAGCCTCCCTAAAAAAAGTAGTCATTTGTTTTTGTTGATTTTTTTTTATTATTTATGACCACTATCATCAATCACGTTTAACATCTTTGAAATAAAATCAAAGACCGCATCTTTGATCTTGTGATGCAGAAGAGTTATTTTTGAATTTAATTACATTTTGTCTGCAAAGACTAATGTCCACATGTCATTCTGTGAATATAAAATGTAAAATATAGACGTTTTAGTTGAGTGAGTGAACTGTTAACACATGTTAACTTTTTTTTACTAAACAGTAGATCTCTGTGAAGGCTCTGGCAAGAACCTCTGCGGCCTTTCAGATGAAGTAATCAATTTTTAAAATTATTTATTAATGTCCACATGTCATTCTGTGAATATAAAATGTAAAATATAGACGTTTTAGTTGAGTGAGTGAACTGTTAACACATGTTAACTTTTTTTTACTAAACAGTAGATCTCTGTGAAGGCTCTGGCAAGAACCTCTGCTTTTCAGATGAAGTAATCAATTTTTTTAATTATTTACAAAAGTACATCAATTTTCACATCCTTCAGCAAGCAACATCACCAGTCGTTAATATTGCTGCCTCAAGCCAAAGGCACAAAATGCTACCAGGGCTTGCTGGCCCTGCAAGATGTTAAAGTGGATGGACGAAGAGGACACTCAATTTTGCCCGGCTGACGAAACAGCTGCACAGATGACACTTTCAGAGTGCAGTGATTGGTCTTACACCTGGAACAAAACACAGAAATTAGCTTTATTGTTAAATTCATTATTAGAACAGGTGGCGTTTTTAAAATACACCTTAATTGTTTTTAGCTCATCTTAGGCTCAGTACCTAAAGCAGTCATGGTGAACAATCCTGTCCAGATCAAGCTGACGTTCTGGCTTTTGCTGCAGAAGGGAGCAGACCAAATGGCAGCATTCTGTGCAGAAAGATGGGAGAGACGTCTGATTATTACCGTAAACTACATTCGCTCTTCTTATTCTAAGCTGAAAGATCTTTAGGTCAGAAAAACAGGATAAATTGCTGCATTCTCCATATGCCATCTCCTATTAAGCCTATCAAGTTTTGTATTAGAATTGTGGAGAAGAACTCACCTTCTGTCAAGCCAGGTTTGGACCAGGTGTTCATGTTGGTCCTGTAGATGTTGAAACTAGAATATATCCACACAGCATTCTGAACTAGAGAATGCTCAATGCTGCCTCTGTTTGTGTTACACAAAGTGAAACGCATCCATGCAGTGTGAAAAACGCTGGACGACTATGACGTACTGTAGAAGTCCTGCTGGTCCTTCCAGTCCAGCAGCTTAATAATGTCCATCACGGCCTTTAATGGCCAGGATTGTTAGGGCGACTTTTTTGGGGAAGGGCCTTGGGATGTTCAGACTGGACGAAAGAAACATTTTTGGCTGTTAAATGGTTATAAATACAGGGTGTCCGCGGGGTCTTAAAAAGTATTAAAAGTTGATAAATCAATTTAGAGAAAATTAAGGCCCTTAATAAGTATTAAAAAGTCTTAAATGCCATTTTCCAAGGTGTTACAATTTGTATCATCTTTTCATTATGTATATTTGTCCGAATAGTGGGGTTCTGTGTAGTTTATTTATATAGACGTCATCTGTTACGGTGCTCACTGACTGACTGCGCTGCTGCGTGATAGCGCGGGGCTTGTTGATCCCGCTCTCGCTGAATTTCTGAC